GTAAAACAGGTCGAAACGCGTTATATGACGCACATAAACCTAGGTTTGTCGACAAACCTCCTTTGTGAATTCGGGCCCTGTGTTTACAACTGAATTGAACATCATCATCTGATTTTAGCTACACATTTCCTGCTCATTTCCTTCACTTTGTTCTCTCTCTCTCTCTCTATATCAGATTTGCGATCATAATGTTCGTGCATGACCAACCAGCTCTCCTATGAATGTTTGTTTGATAATGGAATATTCTCAAATTAAATAAATGAAAGACTTTACATGACGAATCTCCTCTTCCGAAATGTTGCCATAGTGATATCAGATTTACTCTCCATCATTGTGTAAGGTTTTTTAAAATGTAATTATCCAGGAAAAAATGTTTATACATACAGAAATCCTAACAGGAACACATTAACAAAAATATATATTCGTTATGACTGTATAATTATGACCAAGGAGGGAAAGTACCACTGCAAACCCATCTCTTAGGTATTTATTTTAACTATTTTACTCATGAAGTAGATTAAATGTCAATATTAAAAGTATTCTAGAGTTGTTGTAATGGTAATCTAGACAAAGATTTGTGTACATTCAGTATACGTTGTTTTGACGCTGGAGGGATTCATATTTACGTCATACAAGCCTTCACGGTCGTTTTAAACATCAACAACGGAATATCTAATTATGAAAAAGCGATGGCATGACTTTAAGTCCTTGCTCAGCTACTAATTGGCATTAAAACATATAGGCCTATACGTGTAAACAGCTTATTTAACCATGTTCACAAAAACACTTTTCAGTGTAAGATGCACACGTGTAAACAGGTCAAAACGGCATGTTTACAAACACAATTCTCACTCGAGCACTCAAGACGCAAGAGCAAGGGAATACCCGAATGACGCACGTGAAATAATGGTCCCATCATACCCCCCCCCCCCCCCTGACTATGCAAAACAACACGTAGCAACATAATGGAGGCGTGTATATAGATCTCATTGATATCAACGTCTTAGAATGATCATTATAGATGGTAGGGAGTGAGGAAGAGATGGATAGAGAAGAAGAGGGAGAGACGAGGGGAATAGAGAATATAATTATGTGGAGGAACAAGAACGAGAACAAGAGCAAGAAGAACAAGAAGAACATCAAGAAGAAGGAAAAGATGAGGAGGGGAGGGGAGAAATAGAGAACATGAGAAAGAGAGAGAGAGAGAGAGAGAGAGAAGTACAAAACAAAAAGTGAGTGAAAAACATAATGCCTGCAAGATTACTGTTGCATTTTTGAGAGAGTGAAGGACAAATTAAAATTCGACAATCAAATGAGAAGTTAAGTCGCAGTCATGAAGTGGACAGCTGTGTGTTTGTAATGACGCCATAACTTTAACATCAAACTGAGCGCTAAGGATTTTGTTGTAAATTTGAGCAAGAGTTGAATGGACGTATTGTGCGAGTGGGAGGGCCTTTTTTGTTTGAGATAACTTCTACAGCTAGAACAGTTACATGTGATGACGCATGTGAACAAGAATCAAATGATCTGACCAAAAAGAGAATGCAGTGAAAGAAAAAAAACTGCAGCAAATACTGATGAGGAAGCACTGACAAAAGAAATGGGGTCAAAAAATATATATGCCAACAACTCTTGAGGAATTCAATCGTTTATTTGTTTTGTTCAATCGTTTATTTATGTTACTTTCATAAAAATACAATCAAACCTAATAACATTCATACAGCAAAACAGTGAAAATACAGAGTAATCAATATCATCGACAATGTATACAAACAATAGCTTTACAATTTAAATCAAATTAAAAAGGGGAACTTTAAAAAAAAAGCCTATGATGCCTCTGTGAGATGAAGTCCCCAGTAAGATATACGAATAATTGATATTGAACATAGATTATACATTACAAGGATACATATTGTTTGACCAGTTATGTTGATTTGTTTTGGTCAGTTAATATAGTAGTAAGATGTGATCTTGATTTGGCAAAATATTACCCAAGTTGAGCTTAAGTTGCCCATAGTTGGTCGGAAACATAAACCTCAGAATCGGGCAAGTTTTTCCTTAACTGTTTTTAGCGAGTAAAAAATTACACGAAAAACACATTTGTCCATTTATAATTTGATATATCATAAAAAAACACCACGATATTATGATGAAGTATTTAGTAAAGTAATTAAGCTTGACAGGGAATTACAATGTAATAGAAATAAAATCATGTAGTGCTCCCTACAGAATATATTAAAAGGATAACCTAAACACTTATATTAATAATAATTAACATGATTACATAGACATTCGAGAAACTTGAACTTGGGAGCAACTTCAATACTCTATGTATTTGTTGGATTGCCTATACACATCCTGTTCAGTTCAGGTGACGTCATGTATCATTGTTATTTCAACGGGTGATTCATTTTTGCAACCGTGTTGAAATAAAAATAAATGATAATGAAAATATATGAACAAAATAATAGTGGGGGAAAGAACAGGGGGAGACAGGTATTCTTTAAAAAAAAAACGTTATTACGAGGAGGGAAGAATGAGGTCAAAATTATTTTGCCTATATTGTTAATTGGTTCCTTGTATGGTAATCGATATGCACCATCTTGTCATGACGTCATCTAATTGATTATTACGTAAACCCTCACGTGAACTCCGGAGGTGGTAGGATTCTAAACAGCCATGTTCGATCAGTTTCTTGAGAAAGACAACTTTACTAGCCTAAAAAAGGATTTTTTGTTTTCTTCTCTTTATATTGATAATCACATGATGTTTATTTCAAGTAATATGAACCAAAAACATAAAACAAAGGAGAATGTGCGATAGAAAGAAAATGAGGAAATGCATGGATTTGATAAAAGACGGCGCTCTCGTGACATATATTTTTGTTAACTTCCTGACACACTATTTTGATAATATTCAAGGCTCTGATGGGCACAGTGTATCGGCACGCAACCATTAAACAAAGGAATAAATCCCATATAGTTTCTATTACCATGAGTGCTTCTGCAATAATTCAAACTTTCAGTTTCGGGCTGTCTTTATTGGTTTCCGTACATGATCATGATTTCTATTGTGAAGATCCCCGTCCGGAAATAATGAAAGTAAATGGTCAATTAACAAGGCTTTTGGAAAGAAAATCAGATTACAGTTCGTAGAAGGCTAAAGTAAATGGCGTGAACATTCTTGTGTGGATTACTAATACTACCATCTCTTCTGTCAAGGGTGAACCCTTTTTAATATCATACAACGACTTCGTTTAAGAAAGGGGTATATATCATGTATATAGGAAAAATAACTTACAAATTAAAAACAAATTGTAACATTGTTTATTACAATACAAGTATGGATCTCGGTTTGATACAAGGGGAGAGGGAGGAGAGAGAGAGAGAGAAGGAGAAAGAGAGGGAAAGAGACAGAGAGAGAGAGAGATAGAGAAAAAGAGAGAGAGAGAGAGAGAGAGAGAGAAAAGATAAGCACTGTCCTAAAATGTCTTACATTGAACTAAAGATTACTTTTATTTCAAGCGATATTTTCTAAAAAAATGTCGGCATTGTGAATTTCCTAATGCTTTGTTTTTTCTTTGAATTTATAGACACGAGCAAAACTGAAAGGAAAAATAATGGACTATTTACGCTAGCCTTGAATGATTAAATTACCATTCAGATGTATGCAACTATGGATTCTATGAAGCATATTATGCTTGTATTATAAGCTTTAATTTGCAGAAAATCTGTTGACTGCTTGGCGAAAAAAAGAAAATTAGTACGCTAAATTTAGGTAGCGCTTCACATTATACATTTCATTGAGCTGCACATTATGTGACGTAATGTTTATCAATTATTTTGTAACTACATTGTATTTTGTTTTATATGTGCTGCCAGTGGAGGCCAATTTTCTATGTTTTGAATATGGATCAATAAAAAAAAAGAATCTATCTATCTTATCTATACGGCTTGGATATAACAAACGAATTCAATCAATGATTCATAGGTGTTATATTGTATAATTTGATCACTTCACATTGCCGCTTCGATATCAAGTATTACACACGTACTAAGAAGATACTGCTAGAATACCAAGAATTATATTCGATGAAGTCATTCTCAGACCTATACGATACATAGATCAGCGACTGAATTCATGGCATATATTCTCTTTACTAGTTACATTTTGAACTTACTATTAGTACATTATAGGAAACTTGAATGAACTATTCTACTTTGATGTATTGTGAATTTTCAGAATCTCAATTTTTAAAAATAATAACAAAGATTGATTTATTAAGCGCATATAAATGGAAGTTTCTCTAAGCGCTTTACAAAGTAAAAAATAAGCATGTACAAGTATAAAAATAACTAGATACAAGAACAAAAGACAAAACCATTAAACTAAAGACATGTAGCTAAAAATACTGAATTAAGAGCAAACTAAATACAGATAGCAAACATTTATGAAAAATCAATAAGAGTAACATATTTAATCATAATACATTAATTAAATGCAATGTCAACAATTACAAACGATGTACAAAAGATTTAGGACAGATACATCTCTCAAAATATCTTTAAGGAGTAGCGAAAATAAACGTGGCAATAATGGGCCCAATTTCAGTGACTTTTAAATATTCAAATCCCCTCATTGAAGTTGGTTCGAGTAAAAACTGATAAATCAGAAGAAAAAAAGAATGAATAAGAGTTTGAGAAATATGAGAAGAAGTAATATTAAAAAAATCGACAACTTAGTCATGATGTGTGATGTCATACGTCGGGTACTCCCCCTTTCTACATGATAATAAAGAGCGTAAAGATTGGATTTTGACAGAATTTCTGGAAAAGTACCATCATCTTGTATTGACAAGTTCCATGAAATTATTCCCACCACCAAATAAGGAGTTCCTGAATGACGAACGAAAGAAGCATTGATTTTCTTTAGCGCTCTCTGCGTCAATGGACCGAGACGAACTCTATAGCATCTAAATGCGCATTATTTGCGATGCTGCCTGCAGTCACCAAGTTAGCTTTTCGTAAATCCCTCAGAAAAGCTTGGCGACCAATTCGTGAACGCACGCACTACAACATGTGCTCCCATACACGGATTCTTAAACCGGGATAGTGGACGTTTTATTCACATTTTTGATTGTTTCAGTGCTTTGTTTTCCTTCTTTACGCAGTTGTTCTTTCATTAGAGGTAAGTTTGTTGCTTTATTGTTATCTATACGTGTTTGTTTAACATTGGTACGAACAATAACTGAAATGTAGTATGGCCTATTATGATACCGATGTGTAGCATTATTCGTACCTATATCGTAGGTCTATCTGCAAACAAGTAGCTATTGTTGAAACACATTCCACGGTGTGTAAAGCATTAAAACTGGATCTTTAGCATGAATTAATTGTGTGTTAAATTAGGAAAACTTATTATAGTAGCCCATATTATAAAATTGTCGATTTCTAAGCAGTAAAAATGGGTTTAAATCACTTTAATTGGATATATATTGAATAGTAATGAAGAGTGAAAAGAAAAGGGAAAAAAGAATCCGTAGTATTCTCATATCCATAAGAAAATTTAAGTTTGCAATATGTATTTTGATGAAACCGCAGCAATACTAACAGATTTTGACAATCTGTTTTCGTCCTTGTACTATTCAGAAACAATAGAAACACATTCATACGTAAAGGCCTTTCACTCGGCAGAGAGTGAGGGGAAGGATTGCACACAATGTTTGATACGAATCGGTCTGCTACTGTCGCATATTGTTGCTAGCTACCATCCATTTTGTTAACCTTGGGATATAGGAGATCCATGGATTGGGACAATTTGTGTGAATTCAGAAGAAAAGCGAAGTATGTCATATATAAGAATGGTGTAGGCCAACATTATTATGTAATTTGGTTTCATCATTTCCATCTGAAACATGCGGCATAATGACTATTGCTCGTACTGATCTTGCCATATATCTACCTGTCTGCAAACCAGCTGTCTATTTCTCCATCTTATCTCTCCCTCTTTACGCAATCACTCCTTCTCTCTCTCTCTCTCTCTCTCCCTCTCTCTCTCTCTCTCTCCCTCTCTCTCTCCCTCTCTCTCTCTCTCTCTCTCTCTTTCATGGTCTACGTGTAGGTACAAGGTACAAGTAAACATAGTTCTATCACCTTGCTACAATGTATTAAAAACAGTCTGAGTCATTATAAAGCACGTCATTGTTTCCACAAATGCATGTGACTACTTACGGTGACATACCTGCTGTGCCAGGGGTGAAAGTTTCAAGTGTAATCTTCTTACGGTGTAGACATCCATTAAGGGGTGTCATATTATCGGGACAATACGTACTTGCCATCCACGTTCCAAAATAGTTTAATCCACACTCAAAAGAAGATTCAACCACTACTTTGGAGAAAATGCCTCTTCAAATTTGGAGTGGATTCAATACAAACGAAATTGTGAGAGCTAACAAGAGAAAGTGGTATGTAACTTTCCCCAGCTCAGCACATGATCACAAAGAATTGCATTCTTTCATACAATATCTCCACATTGTCTTTCTTTTCATGGTGATTGATGGTATACAGCACGTCTGACTCCCATACTGGTATTGTATGGTCTATCGTATGTAAACAGGTGATCAGCTCTAGCGAAGCTCCATTCCACTGTCTCTTGTTAGCTCAATACTTATTGACAGATGTTGCACAAGATGAATGAGACCTGGAGCATTTGTTTAGGGTTTAGCTTAGCCCGTTTGAGAAAATTATTCTAAAAAATGTTAACGAATCTCTTAAATATATTTAGATGTTTGAATAACAAAATATGAGTTGTATGCAGCCCTGCATATCAACTTATATTTGGTCACCCGACCTTAAAGATAAACTCCAGTTCTGGTAAAAAAAGAAAAGAAAATTAATTCTCACAGAATCAAACAAAAGTTACACTGAATGTTCAAGTTTACAAATAAATGACATGTGCCAAACAATGTTGGAAGAAAATGTATACTGGCTGAGTAATGAGCATAGAAAGACAAGGAAATCAAGGCAGTACTCGCCCCGACATAATGTGTGTTGTCCCATATATTGCTTTCTGTGTACAGTGCTTGTTACTTTACCAAGACTCGGTCAAATTTATTATGATTTTGATGACTCCAGAACCTTGCAGTGCACACCAATACTTACATTCTACATGATCAACTGTTTCTGATCCTTTCCACACCTTTTCTTTCACAATGCAATCGCATACGTGCAGTACTAAAGTTTATCTTTAATATACAATTGAGAATTCTACTGTAGATTTGATTCTCTTGATTCAACAAACTCACTGGACAGTGAAACAGGTCGCCATATTCTTTAGTCCTTCCACCCACCACATCTTTACACTGCATGCCCAGGAATGTAAGGTTCTTCACAAACAAGACCAATCCAAAGTGAGTGGTGTATGCATGTTTGCTAAACAACTTTGCCTGGATAATGAACACAATTATTGCAATACGATATCAAACACAGTCTAGATTGGGACTTTGTGTAATTGAGATTGACATGCTTTGTTAACTTAAGGGAGTTTACTTTTGTACTGTCTACTTGACCACAAGGGCCCAGTCATCATCGTGATGATGTGTCATTAACAACCACACTTTCAATGGTTCAATTTAATATCTTTTTCAAGCATAAAGACAACAGCAATGACAATAATATATAGAGTGTAAAGTTTGGTGTGATTAAGGAAAAATAGAAACTACTAGAGTTTGCAAACAAAATTGTAAGGCGTAGTCCCCAAAGTTACACACAACACAAAAAACTTGTCTACAGTACAGAATAAGAACCAAAACAAAAAAGCAAAAAGAACAAGATCTATACACTCAGTAAAGTTAATTCATAAACACATATCATCCGGAATGCTGTAAATTGAGTAGGCAAACAACAGCAAACACCAGCATCATTTCCCAACGTTTTGAAATTCAAAAACACGGCAGATACAGTCTAATGCAGAAACCGAAATGTAAACATATAACAGCCAGTTGTATTGTTCCCGATATGGACGGTATACGGCCTATGCTCTGCAGTCATGGCCAAAACTAAGCCAATACGCCTATATCGTTTCAATGTTTTCTTTTCTAGACAGAAATTTAAAGATCATTTAATTCGGTAAAACTAGGGATATATGGTAAAACAAACTGAAGCTGAAACTCATAGGCCAGAATTCACAAAGGAGGTTTGTCGACAAACCAGGTTTGATCAGACCTAGGTTTGTCGACAAACCTCCTTTGTGACTTCGGGCCAAAATGTGAGATTAGATACGTTTTTTTTTTTAACATGTCTTTAATATTCGCGTGCAAGTTAGTTGGATATGTCGAGGCTTATAACGAGATATTTGATAGTTGGACCTATATCTATCCGAGGGGAACACTTCTCTGGAATAACGTCATGAACGGATGAGGTTGGAAAAAGGCTGGTACCTGGTTCGTGAGATAGGTTCCTGCCAACGGAACTACCAGGCGTCTTTAACCCCGGTTTCACCCGAACTAACTATACGAGAGGTCAGGTTCAGGGTCAGATGAATAGAAAAAACTATTACCCCCAAACACAATGGGGTATACCCCCTGAAAGGCTACGTACAGATCTATAGGTATACATCGTCTGTCAATAGACCTTTTTAGTGTGTACCAATGTATTTCAATCTATATGCGAGCTTTTCTTCAGAACCCCTGCGTGGTTACCAAATATTTAATTCAACTGCTATACTCTTAATGGGATCTCTATAGATGGAATCCACTTTGCATGTAATATCTGTTGCTAGGTCTGGCAAGCTTCCAGAAGCATGAATAGAAAGAGTAAACAGATCTATTAGATATTAGAAGCACGTTTTTCGTGCGCTAATAAAGTCAAGATTCCAATTATCCTGGTAACGCACGTACGCAAGACAAATTTACTTATCGTGAGGTCGTTATAAGAAAATCATGATTTAGAACAAATATTAACTAGGATGTATTTAGTTAAGCCGAATGCAAATGTGAGTTAAATGCCAAATTTCCAAATTCAAGATATGAGAAATGCCTGTCCCTTAAGGTATGCTCAATTAAAAGGGGTATACATTTGGTTATGTAATAATATTAGCAACCATTAGATAAAAAAAACTATTGTAGGGATTAAAATGTATTGTATATTGACTGATCACCTCTACAATATGGCGGCCTGAGTTTTCGCATAAATTCATCTAAAATGATATACCAATTTAACGTTGACAATCGAATGTTTCAAATATGAAAATCCAGCACCTAACCAGAGCTTTCATGACAGTTGTTGATATTCTAGAATGGGAAGCAGGACTTAACAGAGTTAATTATGGATGACAGGAGTGGTATGACATCCCCGCCAAAAAAGATCATAAATAGAAATGTGAAAAGGTCAATTTAGATAAAAGCGTGTTGTTTTGGAAAGAGTGTAATGATAAATCGTCAGCTGGTCCCTGTCAATGTGAACTGCAATGGCGTAGCAAAAATGGTTCAACCGAGCAAGGGGGGGGGGGAGGGGGAGTTGACATGCTAGACGACAGAGTTAAACAGTTAATAACTATATTGTGCCATCTTGCATATAGCGCATATCACATTTATAACGTCTGGATATGTTTGCAAAGGACTTTAGATATCATTACCCCATCTCATTAAGCTCCGGCAACTCTAGCGCTCAGTAAATGACTCTTGATCCTCGGCCGAGTGTGACAAATGTAGATAAATGTATATTAACGCCAGTGCTGCGGCAGTGATTCGAACCTCGTACCATGTGGTTCATAGTTCGAAAAATTATCCACTAGACCAAAGTCCTGGGGATGACACTACGGAAGAACGGGTGGGGTGGTTCCCCTGCCCCCTGGCTTCTCCTTTGGGGTGAACTGTGTATAGTAATTTGACTGACGTTTATTTGACATGCTATGACTGCCTTTCACACTATAAGACTCTTCGAGGGTGTGACTTTAAACATGGATAGAGTTACTCGAATATCAAGTTTTGTTAAGTTTGTCAAGTGAAAAGCTCATTAATAGTAGGTATGGTAGTGTGACAAGTAAATCATAACACACCAGCGTGGAATCACAAGTTTTGTGATTGAAAAAGAAGGGTTGTTCATATTGGGCGGATCCGTGGTTGGCTGAAAATTCTGGGGGGGGGGGGGGGAGGGTGAAATTTCATAAAAATCCTCCCATTGTCAGTG